TACCGTCGAGTTGACTACAGCTCACAGCGACCCTATAAACAATGGAACTGACCCCTGTCCTGACCTGTCCTGTGCTATCCTTACACTCATCATCTCTGACACACTCGAGTTCCTTGCTGCAGTCGCTGTGTCAATTCCCTGGCTGAGGGTCACACAGACTAGCTTCTTGGGTTATTTGTTCAGTACATGAATCTACTAAATCTAGTAAAAGAATACAATCTGGAAAAACACATTTTCTTGATTTGAAGCCACACAGTGTTTATTACTTTGCTCTTCGTCCAATGGCTCCTGATCTATGTACAGTCACTGACATTTTCTGAGCCAAAACTGAAGATGTAATGTAACTAATCAATGTTGTACTGGGGAGTACTGCTGACACAGGCAGCACAGATTCATACTGATTAGCCAGGGGTGCTATTTCTCTGGAGGTTTGAATGCACCAACGGCCTCACATGAAAAAGATGGACAATCCCCTTCTGTGAAATGTACAGTCTCAGAAACCCAACAAAGATCATGCAAGAGTCAGTTCCAAAACAATAGCAATGAGGGGGAGGGGAGAGTCCCCTCTGGGGCAGGGGTGAGAAAGTTATAACCTTCAGACTGTATCTAACCTTGACTCTATTTTGTAAATAAAGCTTTACTTACAATGAACATATCTGTCATGAACATAGCCATGTTATTTATTTACGCCACTTCTTTTGGTGTTCCTTTGCTACAATAATAGAGTCTGGCAGTCCCAAGAATCAGAACCAACCCATAGTTGGCCCTCTGAAGGGTTTCTAGAAGCAGTTAATTGCAATGGAGTGGAGAATGTGCATTCTTCTCCCAGAGCAGCTGGTGGCCTTGAACCACGTCCCTTTGGGATTACAGTGCATCTTCTTGCCATTAGGCCAAGAAGACAAGGATTCTCACCATTGGGCCAATTGGCAGCACCATGACAGATGGAGAAGAGATTGAGTTTGTTAACAACTACACCTTGCTCAGCTCCACAATCAATATTCTTAACACCACCCGTCAGTAAATAAAAAAATTAATTGCATTGAGAAAATCTAGGATCAGGGACCTCTTCAGAGTGCTGAAAAGCAACAATGCCCGTCCATAGACTAAGGTGCACCTAATCCAGGCTATAGTCTTCACAATTACTTGTTATGCTTCAGAGAGTTGGACAATGACTAAAGATGACAGAAGAATAGATGGCTTTGAGTTGTGGTACTGGAGAAGAGTCTTGAACATACCATGGACTGCCAAGAAAACAAATAGGTCTGTCTTGGAGAGGGTGAAACCAAGTCTCTCCTTGGATGCTAGGATTTTGAAACTCTGTTTCACATACTTTGGGCACATGTCCAGGAGACACTGGTCCTTGGAGAAAGACATCATGCTTGGATGGGTAGAGAGACAGAGCAAGAGAGGAAGACCCAAGATGAGATGAATGGACACAGTGACTGGGACAATGGAGGTTGGTGTGTCAGAATTAGTGAGAGTGGCTCAGGACAGGGAAGGGTTCAGAGCTGCTATACTATGGTCACTATGGGTCCCAGGCACAATCGCTGCAAGAGATGCCTAAAGATGGCAAATTCTAAAATATTCTAAAATACTAGTTGGCCTTTTATAAGAAACCCAGTTGGCCAATGATTAAGTGCCCAACTGCTAACTAAGAAGTAAGCAGTTCAAATCCACCTGCCAGCCAGTGGGGGAGAAACACAGCTGTCTGCTCTGGCAAAGACTAGCTGCTGTTGCTAAGTCTGAACTTCATGGCTGACCCTGCTGCAGTGGTTTTCAGAGTCTGTTAATCACATACAAGCAGATTTCTCATCTTTCTTTCACAGAGCCTCAAACCATGTGCCTTTGGGTTGGCAGCTCAGTGTCTAACCACCAAGCCACCAGAGCTCCTTCTGTAGACACTGATAGGTTTGGAAACTCTGTGGGGCAGTTCTCTGTCCTCTGGGGCTGCTGTGGGTCTGAATCGACCCAGTACTGGATTTTGAGGTTTGGCCCTTCCTAGAAAGAACCTGCCAAACCCTATACTGGGCAAAAGAGTAAAGCATAACTATAAATTACAGATTTCCCAGGAAATCAAGGGAGGTCAGTCATCAGAATTGTACCAAGACAGCCTGGTGGAGCTGGTGGGGAGAGGAGGACCCTTCTGAGCTTTGCTCTTGACCAAGAGATGGCCATCTAACTAGGCGCAGAGCTGCCCACCACCCAAGAGGCCACCAGGCTGCAAGCAGACAAGGTAGGGCTGTCATGATGACTTTTTCCTGTTCCAGCAAGCACAGGGAAGCCTTATGGTGCTCATGAAATGGTCCAGCCTGGAGGTGATGGGGGGAGAGCCAGACACTGACTCCCTGTCTGCCTCTTCTCTCCTCCAATGTGACCACCATCATCTGTGTGCCCTCTCCTCACCCCACACTAACAATCACTCCTCTAAGTGCATGGCTTGAACTTGAGCCAATAAAATAAGCTCCACCACCACTGACTTATCCCTTTCCCTCCAGTGACCCCTAACAAGAGCTCCCTTGCCATGCAAGCACTGGGCATGGCAGTCAGAGGAGGGAGCAGGTGAGCGGAGGAGGCTATACATGGCTGCCTCTGCCCTGAAGCCCACACGGAGCTCCTCCTGACTGCAGGGTAGTAAGTGTACCACAGAGCCTGGCCGGTGTTCCCCAGTCAAGAGGACTCAGAAGTGACTCATGAGAGGGCGGCCATTTCGCCATCCCACCAAGTTTACCCTGAGCAACTTTAGTGAAGACGGGAATCTCCGTACCAGCAAAGAAGTGGAGAATGGAGAGTGAGTGGTCGGAGAGTCCCACTCAACTCAGACCAGGATCAGCAGCAACCACAGTGGACAAGCAGAAACCTGCCTAAGGCAGAGCTGCCCTGTGGACCAGAGGCTGTGTGGCCTTCGCCCAAGCATGCTGGAGGCCTGGGGAAGGGAGAGGCCATAACTGGCAAGACTAAGAGAGTTCTGTAACACTGACCTAAAGCTACTAGCTGCCAAGTCAAAGGGCTGCAAGCAAGCTTGAGAAGCTGCCCTGATGGAAGAACTGCATCCTGTTTCCAATTTCAATTGCTGACTTCCCTAATAAACCCCATAATCATGAGTACGATCCTGTGAGTCCTGTGTGGCCACGGCAACACATCAGCAGACCCAGCAGCAGAGCAACAGTCCTGGAGGCACAGCTGGAGTTAGAATTCTAGGTGTGCAGCGAGCAGACACAGAAAGCCTCGTGGAGATGGGGCTTTGCTGTGGTGTTGCAGATGGGGACTGTTTCCCAGGGTGAAGTGAGTAGAGGTCACGCTGGGTTCCCCTCATGCTGTCCACACTCTTTTTACAAGTGCTAAGTCCCTGGCTTCTCATTGTGGACCTCAGACAGTACCCACAGCCCTTCTGATGGCACAGTAAAGTCAGGCTTTGTGAGCAAAGGGGTGTCCTAGCCTTCTGTAGGCTGAGGGCTTCACAGCTCTTCAAAAGCTGAATCGTTTAACAATTACACATTCTGTTAGCACACTAAGAGCTTACTGAGAAGCTGGCACTCACACCTGCCCCCAGTGGATTTAAAACAAACTCCCTGCATGCCTTTTTTGTGTGAGAAATGGATGACAGGAATACAACATGGTGGTGGGAATGAAAGCAGTGCCACTCCTCATGTAGACTGTTGTCATTGTCAGAACCGACCCAGAGCTGACCCTCCAGCAGGTTTTCAGAGGCAGGAAATCATATGGGATCCCACAGAGCAGCTGGTGAGTTTGAACTGTGTGCCTTCAGGACTGCAGCACAGCTTACCGCTAAGCCTTTTATTATTATTTACATATTATTTATGTACACATGTTTTAAAACTGTTATGAGTCACAAACACCTCAACGGCACATAATAACAAGTATTTTTTTTTAACTTAGGTGAAGCTTTACCAGTCATATTGGTTTGGTTTACAGACAGAAATGCACACAGGTATACATAATCGTTGTTGCTGCCGTTGTTAGGTGCCTCAGAGTTGGCTCAACTCTAAGTGGCCCTACAAGCTTCGGAACATCAGACCGGAACCCTGCAATATGCTGTCCAGCACTACCATCCCTGTGCGAGTCCACTGTTGCAGTCACCATGTCACTCCTTCCCTTCTGGTCATTTCTCTCCCTTTCTCAGCATGATGTCTTTTTCCCAGGACTGGCCCTTCTCGACAGCATGTCCAAACCATGGGAGACAACGGTTCCCCATTCTTGCCTCTAAGGAACTCCCTGGTTACACTTCCTCCAAGACAGATCTGTGATTTAATGGTTTACTGGCCACACGGGCCCTCTAGGACGAGGTCAGACTTGAAAGCAGAGGGCCCATGACTGAGATCGGATACCCCAGTATTTCTATCTCAGGGGTCCCAGTTCAGTACAGTACCCGAGGGAGTCAGGAAGGTAGAATCAGGGGAAGCCAGTCTTCAGCTCTGTGACATCATTAAGCACCCTCAGTTGTCCCTCAGTCAGAGGCCACTCTTATAGTGGAAACGGCCCAGGAGGGGTGGTGGGGGAAAAACACTCTTATTCCTAGCAGCAACCTGGGCTCCAAGCCACTACACATGCTGCCACCAAATTCATTCTCCTAAACCCCATGACCATCAAATGTTTCCTCACAGAATAAAGTCCAAACTCCTAAAATGGAGCTCAAGGTCCTCACGAGTTCAAAACACCCCTGCTCTTCTAACGTGGGCTGGACCTCAGCTCCATCCACCTGGCCTCTGCCATGGTACTCTCCAGCCCCTGCAGGCACCCTTGTCCCTTCATCTCTGTGCTGGCTGACTGAGCCTGTGGGCCTTGCAATCAGCTTGGTCACTGGCCAGTCGGACAGCATCAAGGCTCTTACTACTTTATCAACTGCTTCCTGATCTGAAAATTACAGAGCCAAGTTCTTAAGTGTTCAATCTAAATAAGAGTAGGGGAACAATTTTGAAATATATAAAAATATCTTATCAGCTCTTTTTCGTGGCGCCGCTGGGGCCGTCGGCTGCTTCACCATGAAGCTGAACATCTCTTTCCCAGCCATTGGCTGCCAGAAACTCATTGAGGTGGACGATGAATGCAAACTTCGGACAATTTATGAGAAACGAATAGCCACAGAAGTTGCTGCTGACTCTCTCGGTGACGAGTGGAAGGGATATGTTGTCCGGATCAGCGGTGGAAACGACAAGCAAGGTTTCCCCATGAAGCAGGGTGTCTTGACCCATGGCCGAGTTCGCCTGCTGCTGAGTAAGGGGGCACTCTTGTTACAGACCACGGAGAAACCGGAAAGAGGAAGCACAAATCTGTCCGGGGTTGCATTGTGGATGCCAATCTGAGTGTTCTCAACTTGGTCACTGTCAAGAAAGGGGAGAAGGATATCCCAGGACTGACTGATACCACTGTGCCACGTCACCTGGGACCCAAGAGAGCCAGCAGAATTCGCAAACTCTTCAACCACTCCAAGGAAGATGATGTCCATCAGTATGTTGTGAGAAAGCCACTAAACAAAGGCGGCAAGAAACCCAGGACCAAAGCGCCCAAGATTCGGCATCTTGTTACTCCACGCGTCCTACAGCACAAGCGCCGGTGCATTTCGCTGAAGAAACAGCGTACTAAGAAAAATAAGGGGGAGGCTGCAGAGTACACTTAGCTTTTGGCCAAGAAAATGAAGGAGGCCAAAGAGAAACGCCAGGAGCAGATCGCCAAGAGACGGAGGCTGTCCTCTCTGAGGGCGTCTACCTCCAAATCCAAATCCAGTCAGAAATAGAATTTTCTATGTGTGGCAAATAAACAAGCTCACGTATTGAAAAAAAAATCTTATCAGTTCACAGATGAGTTACTCCACAGGCTCTGACTTGACTCAGTCCTGGCTTAAATCTCCCCAAGAGTCCAGGTACCTCGTCTGAACCTTGATGTGCTGGTTAGATGTTGCCCTATTTTGTAATTATCTCACTACATAAACGTTGATGGGTTTTTTTTCTCCTCAATTACATTATAACTTTCTTGTGGGCAGGATCTTATCTAAAACAGCCCAATTCCACCCCAAATCCTGCTCTATACACAAAGTGGTCCTCAATACATGGGTCACTATAAGTTAAAATCAACCCCATAGACATGAGTATAGAGTTTTTGTTTTTTTTTAAAAGAGGACTATATTGCAATTCCTGTAATCTTTGAATATGTTACTTCGTACAGCAAGAGAGACTTTGTAGATTAAAGATTAGTGGATAATCACCAGGGAGTGAACACCAAGTCCTTACACTTACAAGAGGGAAGGAAAAAACTTAGAGTCAGGAGGAGATAAGACACAGAAGCAGAGATTGGAATGAACTGTTCACCAGCAATGACCCATAAACCCAGGGACACAGGTGGCCTCTCGAGGCTGCTGGCCTGGTCTACAGGGAGCTGCACTGCTAATGCAAAGACCATACCTGTGTACCATCTAGCAGCTCAAATCCACCAGGGCCTCCCAGAGAGAAATATGGGCTATCTGCCCCCCTCAATACCACCCCCCCATGTGATTTACAGCCATGGAAAACCTACTGGATCATTAGCTATGAGTCAGTTCCAACATAAGGGCAATAAGTTTCTAGAGGCTGGAAAAGGTAAGTGCTACCAGAAAGGAGGTATGAACAAAAAAGATGGATTCTATGATTAAGCATGTGCATCAGGATAGGAGAAAGACTTGCCAATAACCTTGATTATGCAGATGACACAGCCTTGCTTGCTGAAAGTGAGGAGCACTTGCTATAAAAGATCAAAGACTTCAGCCTTCAACATGGATTGCATCTCAACATAAAAAAAATAAAAAATCCTAGCCACTGACTGAGACTGTCAACTTCATCTTACTTGGATCCACAATCAACAGGGGACATATTGCAATGGGAGAGTCTATAGTCAGGGATTTCTCCAAAATACTGAGAAGCAATGATGTCAGTTTCAGGACTAAGATGCACCTGATTCAAGCCATGGTCTTTCAGTTACTTGCTATGCATCTGAGAGCTGGACAATGACTAACAATGACAGAAGAATGGATGCCTTTGATTTATGGTACTGAAGAAGAGTACTGTTACCATGGATCGCCAAGAGAACAAACAGATCTATCTTGGAGAGAGTGAAAAAAAATTCCTCCTTGGAGGCAAGGATTTTTTTTTTTAGAAGTTCAGTAGATTTTATTTAATTCACTTTCTTGATTTTCATGTACCTGATTAATTCCCTTTTCAGTTGCTTTTCTGGTTCCCCTATGTCTGCCACCTTTTTTTTTCTCCAAAAGGTAGCTCCTTTACTTCTAAGGAGCAATTAGCATAAAGTCAAAACATCTGATTCCAATGAAAGATTGAGCTGATTCTTAAAAAAAAAATTCATTTTCCCCCCAATTCACATTGTGTTTCATATGATCATACACTGTGTCTTTTTTTTTTAATTGGGAAAAACATATTGGGGGTACAAGGAGGTGAGGGTTGGGGGCAGAAGGGTGAGGATGGGCCAGGATGCAGTTGCAGAGCTACACAGTTTGGTTGGTGGGGGGAGCAGGTGAAGGAGATGATGAGGGTCCAGCAGGGACCAGATGCTACAGAGGAATGACAAGCATTTTCCAATAATAATTAAACCAACTGTCTTATTGATTTGGGAATTGGATGCCGACTCTCTGGCTTCTTCATGCTGAACAGGGGCGTAGATGTAAAGGGGGGAAGGGAGGATGCTTTATCACCTTACTGGTGGTCTTGGGTTAAAGCAGCTTGCCTTCTTGCTCTGTTAGAAGATATTCTCCTGTCATTTGCTCCCCTCTGGACTGCAAAGTGTCTTCCCAGGTGGGTCCAGCAGGGATGGCTGGCCGAACCCAGAGGATCCATCCTCTTTGATTCCTTAGCTGTCAGTTGTATTTCCTTTTTGTCACTGGCACTGGGTTCAGGGTCAATTCTGGAGTAAAACTCAGAGTTAAGGTTACCTCTAGGAAAGGGAGCAAACCTAGAGAGAACAAACTTGTGAGTTACAAATAGAAGGGCTTTGAGGGTGTTGCCTTCAGGTTTACTGGGGGGGGGGGGGGGCAGAAGGTAGCCTAGGTAACATTGGATACCCTAGGCATTCTTTTTTTTTTTCCTCCTTCCCCACCCAGGGGTCAGATGGCACAATCTGGGGACTGAGGAGCTCACACTGAGGGCCGCAACGGCTCACCCCGAACCGAGGGCCGAGGGCAGCCCATCCCGAGCAGGGCAACACCCCCCAGGAGCTGGTCCCCTCGCCTGACTGAGGACTCTGTGGTCAGGGATAGTGTTTCCAATTCCAGTACTGCCACTTTTACCCACCCCCATAAGTGGTCATACTATATTTTGAAGTAGGTGTCACTGCCCTCCCCCTTTATATATGATAAAGGGAACCTGAGAATTGTGAACAGACTCCCCCCAGGTCTAACCATCTTTTGGCAGAAGCATTCAACAGAACAAAATATGTGGTGCATTTAAGATGTCAGTCCTCTTGTGCATGCTGCCACTGTTAAGGTCATCAGACTCACAGTGACTTTCAGCAATCCATTGCATAGGTAATAGTCTTCTTTGGCCCATTTCTCCTTGGGAATCCTTGAATTCCTGTTGTTGAGCCTTGATCTTCACTGAGAGCCAGTCCTCAACTGTTTAACTGTTCAATTATCAATAAGCCGAAGTCTGTGGAAGGCCATAATGGCCCTGCTTTAAGTGGTTTGCTGCTCCCGCAGCTCACCACACTGTCTCTGCTTCCGCCGCTATCTTGCATCTCCCAGAGGCAAGGATTTTTAAGCTCAATCATACCTACTTTAGTCACATGGCCAGGAGGGACCAGTCCTTGGAAAAGGACATCATGCTCGAAAGGGTGGAGGTACAGCACAGAAAGACTCCAAATGAGATGAACTGACATAGTAACTGGGGAAATGGGGTAGGTATATTGGAGTCAGTGAGACTGGCTCAGGATAGGGCAAGGTTCAGAGCTATTGTACATAGGGTTGCCATGAGTTGCAGGCAACTTGCCGGTACATGACAATAACAACTGCATACTAGCCACTATGCACAGCATTTATTAATTCTCTTTGGTACAGTGACTGTATATTCTTTTCATCTTCTTTTGATACTTTCTACATTTTTCAATATTTTGCCCATAAAAATCCTTCAGAATTGCGACTTAAAGCTTGATTTTTTTCTTTTATTCTTTTCACTTGAGAAATTTGTAAGCATGTTCTTCCCTTTTTGTTTTCTAACTCCAGGTCTCTTTAACATTTCATTATAAAAGTTTGGTCCTCACTAGCTGCCCTTTGAAATCTTTTGTCCAGTTCTCTTCTGCCATCATTTCTTCCCTCTGTTTTGGCTCTGGTGGCCTCATCAGCAGTGAGCTGCAGTGTTAATCCACAGGTGCACCTCTCTGGCAGATCAATCCACCTGCAGCTCTGCCAGAAAAAGCAGGGCAATCTACTCTAATATGACTTACAGCTTCCAAAACCCCTCAAGGGACAGCTCTGAGTCAGTTCAGCAATGATGCTGATGTGGAAATTTCAGTCTCTTCTGACACATATTTTAGTGTTTTGTTTTGTTTTTTTCTTTCTTTCTTTTCTGCCTTTAGCCTTCTTCATGTATGAATTCCTTGATGTCATACCATGACTAGTGTGGTCTTTAGTCATCAGCATTGAATGCATTCAATCTATTCTAGAGATGGCTTTTGAATTCAGTTGGGTTAGGTACAAGGTCATACTGAGATTCTTTTCATATTCTGCATCTTCAATTTAACTTGAACATTAAGTAGCTGATGATCTGTTCTGGAGTCAGCTCCTGGTCTGGTTTTGACTGTTGATACTGAGCCTCTCTCTCCATCAGCTTCTCACAGATCTAGTGAATACCATTCCTGTGTATTCCACAGGTGAAATCTATATGTATGTCACCATTTATGCTGTGGTATTTTGTTGTTTGTTTGTTTTTTTTTAAAAAAAAAGGCATTTGCAATGAATAAATCATTGTACAAAATGCTGGCCTCATTTCTGTCATCAAGGCCATATTTTCCAACTAATGATCCTCCTTCTTCATTTCCAACTTTTGCATTCCAGTCTTCAATTATTATTGATGCATACTGTTTATTTTATTAAATCAATTCAAAATACAAAAGTTTAATCCATTTCAGTCTGCCAAAGTTGGCAGAGAGCCTAAATTTCTTTATCTTTGGTGGTTGGTACTTATATTTGAATAACAGTTGTATTGACAGGCCTTCCTTGTATGACTAGGGTCCCCTTACTGACAGTAATGCATGCACTTCAGGATGTTGTTGTTTTCATGTGCTGTCAAGTCGCTTGTGACTCAAAGCAACCCTATGTATAACAGCCAAAACCCTGCTCTGTCCTGTGCCAATCACACTGTCTCCGACACACCCACCCTGATTACCCCAGTCACTGATGCTGAAAATGTTCTTCTTTATGACAAATGTGACACCTTCCTCTTCATCACTCCCAGCACAGTAGATCATAAATAACTGATTCAAAACAGCCAATACAAGTCTAGCTCAGCTCACTAATGCTTAGGATATCAATCTTCATGCATTTCATTTTTATACAAATTCCAGTTTTCCTAGACTCATCCTTGAAATACTGCATGTTCCAATTATTTAATGATGCTTGCAGCTATTTCTCCACACCAGAAT